CCCCCCCCCCCTCCACCCTCACTTTCTTAAAAAGTAGGGATACAAGGAAAACATATATCTGTTGCCATTTGATCCAAAAATTTTAAAGCATCAACTACAACGGAATCAGTACATGTTAATAATTTCTTAAAAGACGTCCTCCTTCCAATAAGCGCCCCTCCTCTTTGCCAAAATTTTGAGTAAGTGCCTGGGCACTTATGTGAGGAAATACGGTAACTTGTTATCATTGATCGGGGTACAATTCTTTTTCAAGTTCTTTCAACAAAAGAAGCGTTTTCAGGTGTCTAGTATGGACCTGACTAAAAACCATACCTAGATTGTTTGCACGTTAGTTACTTGAGATAAAAGGTAAAACTAAGTAAAAAAGCTTTCATGTTGCTTAACAACTTACTCTGGTTTAATTGATCTTTGTTGATATGCAGCTTACTTTGTAAATCTTCCGCCTGCAACATAGGAGATGACAACAGACACAGTTAATTTTTATGGTCAGAAATGCGGTTTCTTTTTCACTCTTTGTTGAGCGCTCGCACGAATAATTCTCGTTACTATGTATTTACCCTAAACTTTATTATAAACAACTGCACTATCCACCTGAAATTTCGAGACCTAACCCTGCTTTAGGCCATTGACGTGGGGCAGAGATTGACAACGCGACAAGAGATACAAATGTTGATTTAGCTTGGTTAAAGGAATGTTACCTCCCATCGAACACATTAGTTTTCTAAAGGGCACAAACATCTAAAAGGCGGAATAATACAAGAACAATGAACGAGGATGGAGGTAACACAGATTACAAATGACAAACTGTACCTTATCCAAACATTTTGCTGTACCGAAAATATCTCCTTTATGATATGCACAAACAGCCTCCAGCACATACAGGCGCACAAAAAGGGCCAATTCACCACCACTACTACCCTGTTCGTGGGAGTGATTGCACATACATTTGTGACTCAGATGTGATTATTACTCGTTATCTCCTTATGACATCATTATTCAATGTCAAGTGAACAGAGGATGAGAATAAACACCGCAATACCGGTATATCAAATTGATAATTTAACCTCAAGATGAAGTAAAACTAAATTCTCTAAATAATTTACTAGGAAATGTTTTAGAAGCTAGTGGGGAGAGTTGTGAATTAACTTCTGGGAGTTGAAGAGTTTATAATGAGGGGGTGGAGGAAAAGAAAAAGCCCCCCCCCCCCCAAAAAAAAAAAAAAAGGAAAAAGAGTCTTGGCTCCAAGAGGAATGTTATTTATAGGGGGTAAGGCTCTCATTCTTTGGTTCTTAGTGACTTTGATACTCTCCCAGAACATAGTCAGGGGAGGAAAATGCCCTGCAAAAAACAAGAGTCTTTGCCCTAAGGAGAGTTGTTCAAACACGGCACAGTGCATTCATTTTTTGACCCTCAATTGTTAAAACACTTAATATACTTCTAGCAGGGTTCCCCCAAAGTCTCAGAAATAAAAGGAGAGAATCAGTAGTTTACAAACTATCTGAAGAAGAAATTAAGGCTTGATGTCAAGTGTAAGAACATGACCCAAAAAGAGTTTTCCCTGGATATAGAAGCAGGTTTTTTGTTATTGCTGCTGTAGTTTTTCTGTTATAGTCATAACAGTATATATGGTAATAATTCAATTTACTGCCAGGAGCACTTATTTACTTTAGGTACCAAAAAGGGAGGGTCCCTATTCAAAACTAGAGGGATGTTGTTACTAGCTACATATTTAAAAGAAAAATTACTGTTATCTACTATGATCCAGTTTACAATTACCCTAACAACAGTCAGCCTCTCAAGGTTTTGGCCATAGCTTCTTTCAAAACATTCCTTGCACTTCTTCAATTTTTCCTCTGGAACAAAATATAGAGGATAAAGTTGCTCATTAAAATGCTCAAAATCATTTTACAGGAAAACAGTGAATTGTTCAATCGTAGACCATGGAACACAATTTTCACAGATGCCTTACATTGTTATTTAGAATATCTAAGTTATGATCACAGAGCTGTGACTACAACTGATGTTAAAGTAATGAAATCCCTTGCAAGAATCTAATTTTTCCCCTGAGCAAAATGAAAGACATATTGTTAGGAAAGTCTTAAGGGCTAAATTTACTTAAAAATTTTTCAACCAATCAATCCTTAATTCGGTAAGAGTACTTCATTGTCACTAGTTTTATCATATTGCTCAGTTAGTATGTGTGCTATTATTGGTCAATTTAGTGGCCATATTTTACTGTTATGGCCCACTGAATTAAAAAGTTCGTTTGTATTGAAATCTTCTCCTTGCATTTTAAAGACTTGTTTTCTTGCTCTTTACTGTAACTGTAATTAGGAGGAGGTAGTGTGGCCAAGTGGTCAGGCTACTGGATTTGTAATCTGGTGGGCCCAGGTTCAAGTCCCTCACCCTACTGCTCACTGAATTTGCTCTCAGTCCCCCCGAGTTCAACTCTTTAGCTGTGCTGTGTAAATAGCCAACTAGTCTGACTGCTGCCAATTGAGATTTTCAAGCACTTTATGTACTTTATGTACTTAATTAGAAATATTTGTTTCTCTCTCTTTTTACATTGTAAAGCACTTGGAGGCTGGCAATATGTGCTATATAAATTGTCAATTGAATTCAATTTTTACCTCATTTTTTTCCACTTAGATTTATGGCCTGTGTGCGTTGCGCTTTGGCCATAAATTTGAGTTGAAAAATATTTTTCCGTAATCAACAGTACAGACCTACACTCAGTTAGTATCAGCAAGAGGTATATAGTTACTTTGTGGTGACAGTAGTACTTAGCAACAAAACAAGCTTACCTGTATGTTTTTTCTTTTAGTTTGTTTACAACCTCACACTTACCAAATATCACACAATAGATAGCAAGTAGCATAACCAATCAGATTGCATCATTAGTGATAGAAAAATGCTAGTAGGCTTATACAAACTGTAATAGTGGTACACAAAATACTACACTATGGTTGTAAGAGTAGTGCAGTGTAATTAAATTAGTTCAAGTTGTATAGTGGTAGAACTGTCATGCAGTGTCTGTTAAAAAGCAATTTTATTTCTGATCAATCTCTTACCTGCATTAGGTAAATCGACAATACTCTTAAGCCAAAAGTAACACCAGACAATGTCCAGACAAAGGATACCATAATTATCAACAGCAGTAAGAATCTGAGCCCTGCAATGACTGTATGTGGAACACAGGCATTAAAAAGAATTTAGTTATAACTTCCACATCCCAGTCTTTCCCCACTAACTGAAAATGTCAAATGAAAGAGCATCATCCACAATCCCAAATAAAATACATAAATTCAACTATACCCAGAAGAGTTCTTTTGTAATGGAATTAAGTAAATGCTTATTTTCCATACTATTTTCTATAGGTGCTGTCAAGGAGAATTTGTTTAACAATCAAGAGCTTCTTTAGTTGGTGATCATTTTATGTAATCTCATGACCTTTATTTTTGATAACACAACATGATCAAAGCAAATAAGTCCAGCTTCAAAAAATTATTTAGTGTTTATAAAACATTTTCCAATGAGCTGAATTACGTGTGCATTTTAATTAGTTCTTACTTATGATTAACTGGAGGACAGACCCATAAATGATGTCACCATAAACAACTTTTTTATTCTTTTAAAATTAATAAAAACAAAGTAAATGGATTCAATGTGCTTGTGGTTCTGTTCAGTAATAGATCACACATAATCACTAATTTAAACTTTTCTTACCACATTTTGTAATCTATTACTGAAAAATTTTATAAAATAATCATTTACACTTTGCATTACCTGAATTCCTTTTCTGCCTCAAGGAGTAATAAAAGAGCCTCAGGGTAGTTTCTCTTTTTAAGAACACTTCGTCCTTTTTCGTGCAAGGTAAGAGCCAGAGCCAAAGCCTGCACAGTAAAAACAAAAGAAATTAATAAGTAACGTTGCAAAATAATGACAATAATGAAATATTTTTTTGCAATTGTGACAGATTACTAAAACATTGATGAAAAATTTCAAAAATGGTCACAAAGTTCACAAGCTTTCAACATTGTTACTCCACTATACAGGTAGTTCTCTTTGTTACCTTTCTTTCATTTTCAGGCAGCTGAATTGGACGACCTTCTTGATCACTAATCTCCAGGAAAAACCTGTCATCTTTAAGATCTGGCAAAATGTGAAAGAAACTGAATTTATTTAATAAATACAGTGAAGCTTTGCCATCAGTGTAATTAACTTCTTATTAAGACAAATGGTGGGTTACTTCAAGTCACAGCAACTTGCAGAGTTTAAATCTATAGTGCCTCTTTCACAGATAAAGTGAAGATAACATGGAACTAATGTAACTCATTTACAGAAGATTTTGCAAAGTATACTTACTTTCAGTTCTCTCTCATTACATGGTAAATCTAAGTCCTCAAGATTTCACTATTGTATCAAACTACTCACTGTCTTGTCTATTTGACAATGCCTCAGCAGCTTGTCTAGTTCTGGACACATTTTCTCTTGCCTCATCCTTCCCTTGCCACTGATTCTCCATTTCAGCACTTGACTTTGACAACAGAAGCACCATGATCTGACTGTTGTTCTTCAAATTCTGACTCTCAAGAGATTTGTCTGTTTAAAAAGGGTAGAAGCCCTAAGTCATTGGTGGAAGTCATTATTTGCTGAGAGAGAAGCCAAGTACCCAACATCACCATAGTTTATCCCCGAGATGCTTCCTTCAACCCTTTAACTCCCAAGTTCTGATTTTTAATTCTCCTCTCTAACTACTACACATTTCTGTGTATATCAGTTACAAGAATTAAGTATTGGATCAAGACAACAACTTCTATCTCACCTGTTTGCTGAATAACACATGGATATTTTAGGGAGAACTTATATGTTAATCATTTCTGAGAGTTGAAGGGTTAGTAGCCACAAGGGGTATAACTAAGCAGTAAGACCTTTGCAAGTTACCTCTAACATTTCTTCAGCCTAAAGTTTGCAGGTTGTAAGAGACAGTGGGTAAAACATGGTCAATGAGAGTAAGGTCAAGGTCTCACCCATGAGAAAATCGATGATGCTGGCCGAGGCTGAAAAACTGGGACCTTTGGGCAGAGGACCCAGATCACTAACAACAACTGTTTTTCAAAATTAAAAATTACATTATTTCAACCTTCTCAGATTAGCAACTGCATAACTGGTAAGTGACATGATTTTGTGCATTTGACATCAACTCAGGCATCCAGTAATGATACCCAATCTGAAATCTCACAAGTGATAGCACATTTCTAAATATTAAGTGACCTAGACAAGTATAGTAAATATAGTATATAATTGTTTCCAGTTATTGTCAAGAGTACAATTAGGGTCAGTAAAAAGAGTAGATCAAACTTCTTGCTTATAAGTCTATCCTTGGCTAATGAAAGAAAAAATACATAATAATTTCCTGCACTAATTGGAAACTTCTTTTTGAAGCAGAAGGTGACCTCCTGGAAATACTCTCGATCCATAATTTCCTGTATTAAATATTTGGCACTCTAATGAAATACCTGTCTAGCTCAGGAGGTTCCTAGAAAATCGGAATTAACTCATGTAACTCTACAATCCAAAAACAAGCAGCAAGTTTAAATCATACTGTGCTCAGTAACTATGTGCTATACTTTTGTTTCAACACACCATCACATATAACATGTCCTTTACATATAAGTTTCATTTTTTCAGCATCCAGACCAGTTTCTTTTTTCAAGCTGAAAGGAAAAATAACATATCAAAAACATGTATTAATTAATTGAGTATTGGAATCAACTTAAACCCAGATTTGCTTGTAACAGGTAATGAAATTTGTAAATTAAAAACACATATACCTTCTTCTAAAATCTTCCCCTGTAACATGTAAACCAGTTTGTATTTGCAATCTGTTGTTTATCCCTTGAGGAATACTGCCAGTAAAGTGAACCTTGATGGTTGCAATTCCTGATTTAGCAAACCTTTGCTCTGTCTGAAGCTTTGTCACAGCACGAATTCTTAACTGTTCTAGTGCTTCAAAAATTTCTTCTGCAGATTCATTTAGAGCTTCAGAATACTGGTTTATTAATTCCTATAAAAGAAAAGAAAACAATTTTTCCAAAGTTTTTAGATAGAAATAGTAGAGATGGTAAGCTTTTTCAAAGTGTCAGCTTATCATCAATTTATATTACAAATAAGAGATACTCTGTCACCTGAAAACCAAATTTACCCCAGTTGCCTAAGGGGAATGGGATAATTAAAGACACTACATGAATGGCAGGTATTGCATTAAGCAATCCATATTCTGCTATCCAGTAGATAATATGATCTTTAATTTAATTCCTCAGTAAGTACATGAACTATGATTGGTTTAGAAAGTATGCCCTCTACTTCAAGCTTGCATTCATTGGTTCAAATATGTCCCTTTTTTCTCGTCTTCTTTTATTTTTGGTAAATGATGATGCGCCATGATGAGTTTGAATGCAAGATAAAGAAATATTCAAGCCAAAACTAATTTAATTAAAACTGAACCACAATGTACAATTCATTCTTCCCCATAGGTCATCTGTTTCTAACATATTTTTGCAAACTGAAATAAGCTACCACATGAGATATCAATCCAGTGATAATAAAGATGAACTGATTTAAAGCTAAAACGCGTCAAGCGTAGTCTGTAATATCGGACTTTCACTAAGATATTTACCTCCGGGTAGATTCCTGGAAGGTCGTTTGAGACAGTGTAAGGTGGAAGCCACAGCTTTATGTTTTCAGCACGTAATTTGTCTCTGATTTGATCTAAAATTCTATTAAAATGAGGGTTTTGTTCTGCCATAGCACCGTTCTCTTTCAACGGAGAGGGCGAAAGAAATAAGAAAACTAGGGAACAGCCTTACAAAAGATGAGTTCGCAAAATCTTGTTTTGGCTTAAAAGATAAACCGCTGCCAAGAAAGATCGTAGTATACGCCTGCGTGAATGATCGAGCTACCCCTCACAGCTAACATATGGTGGGAGAAGCGTTGATCCGTTGAATTGAAGAAATGAAATGAATCCAAACGTAATGAGATGAACATAAAAATTCAACAGGCTATTTTTCGATTAGAAAGTCGCCAAAGCAACTCTCAAAGTAGTTCATTGAATTGTGCTGAAAATTGTAGTTCTAGTCTGTTTGAGACATGTTAATTGTGATGAAGACTGCGATAAGTTGATGAAAACATGGTATAAGCTGTAACCTGCCTTTCTCCATGTCATCGATCGTGCTTCTAGTTGGCCAATGTGGAAATCAAGTCGGTCACGAACTTATGCGTTTGATTGACAAGAGTGATGCTCACCCTCTGAGCCACAGGGATGGCAAGCTGAGGTGTGTCTGTGTGGACAGTGAGTCTAAGGTCATTGGACATAACTACCGTGAAGATTCAAGATCCAGTAAATTGTACAGGGAAGGAAACATGATCAGTGGACTGAGAGGACGAGGAAATAACTGGGCATTAGGGTACCATGGTCTCAGTGGGGAAACTGAAGACACTTCATTGTTACACAGGGCTATGGAAATTGTGAGGAAAGAAGTAGAAAGATGTGATAATTATGCAGGTAACCATGAACCATTTTCTGATTCAGTGAGATAAAGCAGTTTACACCCCTGAAAACTTTCTGTTGGCAACTAAACTTACTCTGCATTGGAACAGTGCAATGTGAGCATTACATAAGACCTGTCAATAAAATCTGTTTTTCGATTTGCTTCACCTTTCCTGCAGTATAGGAAAGGGATATAAAATATAGCAGTTGAATAATAAATAACTTATTGGGTGTCTTGGTGCTTAATATTGCCAAGTAGTTTTACTCATTGTCTGCATTTTGACTTGCTCCACAGGCTGGTTAAAGTACTCAATGATACTACACACCAAAATGTCTAATAAAAAATATATATATATATATATATGTATATATATGTATATATATATATCCAAGAATACAACATAATGACTCAGCATAATGACTCCGTCAGGGCTTGGACCTGGACCTGGACCTTCCAAACCCAAAGTTACTCTTTTTCACAGATTGACTCATGTACTTTACATAAACTTAAACAAAATGGGTTGGTTGCCCATTAACGGAGATGCTTTAGGAAGGGGAGAAGTGTCATTTTTTTAGGCTGATCATGCATAATGAACACTATAAAGTGACCACAATGTATTGTTTACAGGGTTTGAGTTTAGCATGGGAAATAATTATCTGAAGTTCTGATAAAAATTCACAACTGTGTCAAAAAGGGGACCTCAATTACACTATACCTGAAAGTAAAAGTATATTGAATCTGTAAATTTGAGTGATTACAGCATAAATAAGGTATGGAACTACTGAAAGGGCTCAGGAATGAAGATTACAACCCTCTGTTTTCATGTGTTTTTTTTTTTCTTTCTTTTTCGGTTTTCAATACTTTGAATATTGTTAATAAAGGAAAGTGGCAAGTTGGGGAGCAAAAAGTAAGGGGAAGGTTTGGATTAGCTTTTTGCTGGCCATACTTCCTTGTTATGAACTTTACAATTTTTCAGCATTTGTTCACTCTCCTATGCTAAAAAAAGAGGCTGTGATCATTTGTTGGAAAAGTTCTTAATCTTTAATACCAATTGAAAGTGATATTAAAATTGGCATTTTTCTTTCAGGCACTATGGTGGTTCATAGTCTCACTGGTGGCACTGGGTCTGGTCTAGGTTCTCGCTTGATTGAAACTTTAAGGGATGCATACCCTCTGGCCCATGTCATGTCTGTTTCTGTATTGCCCCACTCAGCAGGTGACAGTCCTCTCCAACATTACAACTCTCTTCTCAGTTTGTCATCATTACAATGGTAAGTAATATTGGCCTGCCTGCTCAAACACTATTTTTGCAATACTTTATTCTTTCCTACAACACACAATCAATTACTATCTGTACCCTCGATGTGTGAGAAGTAGTTTAGTCTTCCTTACTTGACTGGCTTGATTTCTCACTTAAGTGCAGATCATGGTTTTGATAATGGATCTGCCTTCCAGTTAATGTTCATACTTCAAATGGACCAGCCTGCAATTTCTGAAGCACATAAGAAAGATTATGCTTTAATTTATGATTGTTGGGAAAGATCTTTGTATGTCTCTTGGAAAGGGAGATGGTTGGAAAGAAGGGATTCTTTTTATATTGTGGAAAGCCCGTAACCTACTCTTACAGCAAAGCGTTTTATCTATGGTAAATGAACTATCTATTCAGGTGAAAACTTTCCTTGTCTTTCCCCTCACTTTTCAGTCATGCTGATGCAGTTCTATTGTTTAGCAATGATGACATTCTTCATCATATGGCAGCACACAGTGGACTGTTAACACGACAAAACCCATCGGGCTCCATCTCTCTCAAAGACATGAACCAATACATTTCTATGAGCCTTGCTGGAGTGCTTCAACCTTTGGGAAGCAAACCCAAGCGTTTAAAAGGAAAGCTTAAGGAGAGGGGAGCGAAGGAAACGATCGGCAGCAAAAAAAGAAACGAAATATTTTACAAAAGTACAGAAACATCGTATAAAATGGACACCATAACAAAACAGCTTTCGTTTTCCCTTAATGAATCTCAAGACGAATCTGAAGTCACTCGCCACAGAGCCGTCTTTGGCAGTAGTCCTGGTTCCGCATCATCCATGTCGTCTAACGACTCCATTTTTAGTTCATATTCGTATTCAAGCGACACTGACAGCTTAACAGACATGTCAAGACAACCCAGATCTACTGCTTCAGCGCTTTTGCGCTACAGAGGAATCGTAAACCCTCTCGAGAAGAGAACTTTCGAGAGTGGTGATAGTCGTCAGACTGAAAATTCTCCACCAGCAGTTGATGTACCAAGTGGAAATGAGCCATGGGAAATGTTCCGATCAATTTGTGCAGAGCCATCAAAGAAGTTTGCCACAGTACATCACATCGCCAAGTCGAAAGTTTCTTGGCAGAGCCTTACTCAGTCACTTATTCACTCAATTCGAAGATATGATCGAAACGGTCTGCAGTTCTCAACCTTAGCCTCATTGCTTGTGGCTCGCGGGGACCATGATGGTTCTTTTGCAGAGGTTTGGCCAAAGATTGAAGATAAACTGAAAACCTCGCTGGGATTTGTGGATTGGAACCCATTTCCTATTGATTTCTGGATTAGTGAGTAACCTTTATTTTCAAAGTAACTTTTTTCGCTTTTCCAATCACGAGGAAAAATTTTAAAGATTAAGGGAGTCGCAATTTTTTCTCAATACTCCAGGTGTCAACAAGTCGAGTGAATACTTTCTCAACGCTTTCATTTCTTTTCTCAATCGAAACAAAAGAAAACACAGGAGTAAGGAATTGGAGAAACAGAATTTCTTTCTCGCGTCCTGTGCATGTCACAAAATCAGCTTGCACAAGAAAGTAGCGCGTGCATCACCCGCTAATTTGAATATTTCATGCAAAGTTTCCTTAGATTTCTAAGGTTGTATTGTACAAAGGAGTGTTGTACAAGGAGTGTTGTACAAAGTAGTATTATCTTCATTTGTTGCATCTTAAACGTGTTTTAAGGCGTTGCAAATTCACTCACAAAATGTTTCACACCACAGCTAACGTCTCGTATCAAGATAACTTGGTTTTATTATATGGATACTATATATATATACCGTTGTACTAACTGGGTCTTCGTCTATAATACGTTTATATATTCACATATATATATATATATCACAGGCCGGTATAACCCTGTTGGTCCCAAAGACTCCCAGTCTCTTACTCTGTGTTTAAACTCAACTAAGATTGTGGAGACTTTAGAGGACGTTATGAGGAAGGCAAGAGCGATGTACGGTGCAGGTGCTTATCTTCACTGGTTTACCAAACACGGCTGCTCTAAGGTAACAACAGGGTTAAAAGCAACCCATGAACTTGCTGAAAAAGTAAACGTTCCCGTATTTTTGGATATTTCGAGAACCGTTTTGAGTCCCATGGGGTAAATAACGTTTTTAACTAGCGGTTTAGTTTCAGAAATGGCTGAGGACATGGTGTGCACGTTTTTTTTCTGAATGAATTTTCAGACTTATAGCATTTGTTGACTACTTCATATGAATACTTGTTAGTGATAAATTATTTTGACCATGAGCTTGGAATAAATATGTCATTTATTATCCTCGTACAGTACCCTTTCTTTTTACCCTCAGACTACTCTACTCGCTCCACTAAAATGCTTTACTTATGAGGTTGTGGTATTTGTTTGATCTGTTCGTAACTCTTGATCACTTTAGAATGACTTTCTGGATGCATTTGAAACGCTGGAGTCTGTTGTTGAGGAATACAAGCTTGGTGTAAGGTGACGTGAACACGGATCTAAAATGTGGAGAGAGCCAAGATCAATAGACTTGTGAAGCAACTGAAAGGAACACAATGGAACATTACACATGCCTTGACAAGTATTAAGGACATCGATTCATCGGTATTCGTGGCCAGGAATTTTTTTATGAATCGACTTTCCGCTGCAGAATATACCGAAAATGTATATAACTACTGTTAAACCGAGTTTCCTTTAATGTGTGGTTTATTAAGAAAAAGGTGGAATTTAAAAAAGCAATGATGCAATAATGCAGGAAAGTAGTGCTTAAGCTCTCATTTGAATAGTAACAAACTACGGTCGCGTCCAAGTGCTTCAAACTGCCATATGATAATCATGCATGCTTCACATTGTATGCGTCGTTTTTCCTTGAAACTGTTTTTAATACTTTAAATAAATGTCAACAACAACTTGTCAACACGGATCAGTTATTGACTGTTAACAATTTTGTTCAACAAAGTCCTGAATTCAATCGCAAATTGTCTTTCCTACAGCGATCTACATTTTCTTTTCATTATGGTCATTCGTATTTAATTCCTTCTAGTGATGTCTTTCTTGGCAGATCCGAGAATCGAATCAGGCATCCGCGAAGTAATGAACGTCATGCCTACATATAGCGCTCTCTCGCTAACATTCTCGCTATCTCCAATAATCAACTTGACTTGCACGTGGTGAAACTGATAGGAAACCGGAAAATCCTGATTAGAAACGAGAATAGTGAATGTCGCCTGCTAACTAAGCAGTCTTCTTCCTTTCGAGAAGAGAGTATAATATTGTGTTAACTTGTCATAGGTCACGCTTGCACCGGAAAAATAAACTTCAGGTCTTTTGAGGATGTCCAACCAAGGTCTTCACACAACTCCTAGGACATGCATCGGCACGTTACGTCATTCGAAAAGGTCATCATCGGTCATAAACTCGTCTAAAGCTTCCAAGATGTCGGGTGTCACCATCTGCCAGTTAACCATAGAAAATCCAGGTAAAAGAGCAACAAAGACTGTGATATTGTCCATGGACTCGGCGTACAACGCGCTCTTAACAAGCCTCTCTGCCAAACTCTTTGCTAGAAGACGCGCTTTTTCCTGTCTTGTTAATCCTTTTACTTCGCCGCCTTTGAGCCAATTAAACATTTTAAAATCTGGTAAAGAGAATCGGTGATGACGTGTATATATGGAACTGACGTCATCGATAGGTGGGGGATCCGTTATGTGACTTGTATGAATGGGTTCTCCTTTAGTGTTAAAAGAACTCGTGTCTCTGTTTGTTTCAACGCAAGGGTTAATTTGGTAGTGTGCTATCAAGTTACTCAAGTTGTCTTCGCTTTTACTGTGTGCCAATCCTCCAGCAACGTCGTCCGGAGGAAAAATAGATGGCGAGGATGTATCATTAAATTGGTCGCCGGCCATCTTAAAAAAAAGCTTTGTTCTGTACTCTGCGTTAGACAGATGTTCATTGTGTATTTCAGACACAGTTCTATCAACTATTTCTCCTTCAATAATCTTTTGTTTCGCCTCCCTTCTTATTTGTCCAAAGAAGCCGTTGACAAGTTGAATAGTTTCTTCGTAGGAAAACATCTTCCAAAATCCACTAGAAGCTAAAACCAGAAGCTGATCTGTAGGATCTAAGGATATAGTCCTGACGTCAGGCTCATTAATAATGCATCTC